CTCCTCGGAGCTGGAGCGTGGATGCTCAGGCGGCTCAGCCCCGCTCCCGCCGGCTTTGTCTGGGGAACACGACTGGGCTCCTGCTGCAATTTCTCAACCTGCTCAGCCCAGGAGCTTCACAGCTCCTTATCCCAAGGCCACAGGAGGGAGGACCACGAGGGGACCTTGCCAACCAGGGCATTGTGGGGATCCAGGGCATCCCTCTGGCTGCCCTGGCAGGTCTGGGACCCTGGCAGGGGTCAGGAACCCCCCTGGACAGAGCCCCCAGAGACACTGCCTGTGATCTCTGGCCATGGAAAAGAGTTTGCAATCTTACAGGATCAATTACCAGCTCCGAGTGTTTGATATGAGTAAGAATTAAGTGTGGCACGGGTGCAAAAGTAAAATTTTAGGATTCTAGATGAGGGGTCCAAAGGGGACAAGATGGAGGAAATTGGGTGTGTCTTGTCCTTTTTCTCCTTCTTCATGCCCTCCATGTCTCACTGTGGTGTTGGCATTTTTCTGTTGGTTCAGGCTGGGGACACACTGTCCAACGTAGGTGACAGATATTGGCACGTTATTGTAAATGCAGCCCAGGGAGTTTCTGGTATTTAATGTTTGTCACATCCCACTGAGGGCAGAGCCCCACACGCTGCCCTGCAGGACAGAGCTGGGCAGGGCAGCAGAACATGTGAGAGATCAACAGAATAAACAACCTTGGAACCAGCACAGATTAATTACAACTTCTTCTTTGGCAGCGGGGCTGACAGACAGAGACTTTCTACAGTCTCAGAATCATCAATGCCTCAGATTCCGACCTTGCTGGGGATGTTTCCTTGCTCGCTGATGTTTTGGTGGGATTTGGCTGGGGCTGCAGCACTGCCCTCCCTCAGCTCTCCTCGCTCTTTGGGAGCCGGTTGCTCTCTGTAACCTCTGATGAAGTGTAACCACCGTGGAAGGGTGAAACCCACGGAGCTCCCGGCGGCAGACGCTGACACCCAGCGCTGTGGTGGCTCGGGGGGTGTCGAGGAAGCTCGGGAGTGGCTGGGGTGCGCTGTGCCGGGTCGGGGAGCCCAGCCCCGCCCTGGCTGGTGACAGTGGGTGGCACCCACGGCGTGGCCGGAGCTCGGGGCCGGTCCGTGCCCGCAGCAAGCAGGGGGAGCTCCGAGCCAGCGGTGCCGCCCCTCCGCTCCGCGCCCGGGGGATGGCAAAGTGTCCCCTGCTCCATCAGCTCAGGGGCCAGGGAGGGATCATCTGGTTGGTCCCACAGGGGAAAATGTGCTCTGGGGGGTGCCAGCCTTGCCCAGGGTAGCTGTGCCTGTGTTTTGGGTGTTTGTGCTGTGTGTCCAGGTTCTGTCCCAGCAGAGGGATGGGGATGGGACAGCAGGATGGAGCAGGGCAGGGAGGCTCTTCCGAGGACAAAGCACACCCACAGAAATCAATCATCTCATTTTCCTTCTGTCTTAAATGGATTTTTTTATACCATTGATGATCTCTGCACAGGCTTGGGGCAGAAACATAATCTTTTGGGAGCCTTAGTGTTGAGCAGCTGGGGAGGGCAGAGCCTGGGGCAAACCCTGGCTGCTCAGTGTCTCCCCATGTGTCTCCCCTGGCTGCTCAGTGTCTCCCCATGGCCCAGTGGCTCCAGGGCTTCTCTTTGCCTTGCAGTAGGGCTGGGACAGGGGGGTGGTGTAAGGACAGCCCCAGGGATGGGAAGCAGCCTTGCCCCAGCGTGGATGCTGAGGGACTGGGATGTCCTGTGCACAGACATCCAGCACTCGTGGCTGCCAACATCCACCACGCTGAGCCCCCCTGTCATGTCACCCCCACCTACCAGGGCCTTGTCCCCTCTGGGGGGTGGGTACATCCCTAGGACACCAGGGAAGGTGGTGCCTGTGTTGTCTTTCTCCATCCTAGGCTGGTCTTCCTGGCACCAAGACCTCAACAGCAGCCCCTTTCCCCCTCCACCCTGTGCCCTTGCAGCCTGACCCACTGCTTGGTCTGGAGAGGGCACTCCCATCCAGCCCTGCCCTGCCGAGGGCATGCACTGCTTCCTGACCCAGCTGCTCAGGCATCTCTTCCTGCTGCTGTGGGGAAACACTTGATACTGAAAGTGTCACTGCCCAGACAGGATGGGGAGATGTTCTTCTGCAGCTCCTCTGAGGGCTCTTCTAACACACCATCCTCTTGGGAAGAAACCTGGGTGGGCAGAGGCCTGTCCAGCAGTGTTTGGAGGTGCCCGAGCAGGGATCCTGCAGGGGAACACAGAGGGTGATCAGTGACTTTACAAGGTGCAGATGGGCCCATTTCCCCCCTCTCCTGTTCCCCAATGTAAGAGGTGCTGCATTCAGCACCTGCTGTGCCTGGGAGGAACCGTGCTGGGATGCTGTGAGGATGCTCTCGGCATCCTCCACTAAATGCTAAGTGCTGGCATTTGAGCAGAGCTGAGCAGGCTTGCATCACCCCAAGATCTATCAGCCAATGCCCCTCTGAGCAGTATCACTTTGCTTTGTGGCTTTCTCTGCCTGTTCTTCCTGTCCCTTGGGCCAGCCAGCAGCAGCAGGGCTGAGTTGTCAGAGCCATAGCCTGACAAAAGTTGATGTCCTGGAGCTGGCAGTGCTCTGCTCCCAGGTGCTGCTTCTGCCATGGCTCCTCTCCCTGCTGTGGCTCAGGGAATTTTTTGGTCAGGAACTCTCTGGTTGGGCGGTCCTGTATGAGGACATGTCCCCACGTAAATTTCCTGTCCCCACCCCTATGGTGCAGAGAGGAAATCTGTGGTCACACCAGGACCTCAGATCTCGTGCAAACCTCCCCCCCAGACCTCTGCTTCATTCTGCTGATTAGATCAGCAGCCTCTCAGGGGATGGCTGGCATTTTGCCTTTACCTCACAGAAACTACATGTGTCTTAGAACATATGCACGAAGCAGAAGAGCTGGAATTGGTGTCCCCTCTGCCCCTGCTGCTGGGCAGTGACAGCAGCAGAGGTGACTCTGCTGCAGTGTCTGCACTGCTGGGGGGTGAGCACTGTGCCTGCCCTGGGGACCTTCACTTTGTGCTTTGTGGTTTCCAGACTGGAGGGTTCACTCTGCTCCTCCTGCAGGGCAGCAGTGATGCCCCCCACAAAGTACAGCACCTGCAGCTCCCATCCTCTGCTTCTTCTGTTGATGGGCAATGGCATTTCCAGCCTCTGAGGAGTGCAGATTTATGCTGCACCCCAGGGCAGGGGCTCTCTGTACCCCAGCTCTCTCCCAGCTGTGTGTGTGGACAGACAGCACCAGCTCCTGTTACTGCTGTGACCTTGGCTCAGGGTGCAGCAAGGACAAAGTGTGCCCAGCTTCCAGCACGTGGGTGACTGCATTTCACCCCAAGGAACAGTCAATATGGAGAGCCCAGGTTATCAGCATGCAGCATTGGAGGGGAGAGCTTGTGGAGGTCAAGGTGACCTTGCCTGGCTCTTCCTGAGAAGGGCTGCACAACGTGGCTCTCTGGAGCTGAGAGGCATCCCCATGCATGGCAGTCATGGCCTCCAGCCCAGCACCACTTGGAGAGAGCAGCAATTCTTGGTGCAGCATCAGCTCTTCACCTCGGGAGCCCTGCCAGCATCTCCGCCAAAGCTGCTGGCAATTTATGTGGATGTGGGCTTGCATGAAAATGAAGTGTGCTGGAAATTCATGGTCTGAATGCAGCTGCCTCAGCAGTGCATGAGGAGCAGGCAGGATGCAGCATGTTCCAGAGAATCTCAGGCTGATTCTATAATCCCAAAACTCCAGGGCAGCTGCAGAGCGGGGGCCCAGCTCTGTGCACCTCCCCCAGGCTTGGGACTTGGAGAGCAACCAGTGATGGATAAAGGAGTGAGGCTGCATGTCTGATGGTATCACCCTTTGCACCAGGTACCATCGGGAAAAATGCAGTGGATGCCACGGCAGGGAGAGCTGCCTCTCCCCTCATCTTCACCCAGCGACCCTGGCCTTGTACTCACCCTGCAGCTCTCGCCTCTGCTGTTGAGTTTTGTGCTGAGGAAAGCTGAGTGTTGTCCTTTCAACCTCACAGACAGGATTTTGGAAGAGGGCAGCCAGGAGTTGAAGGCTGGGAGATGTGGGTCCTAGGCAGTGGGCTGGCTGAGACTCACAGAAAAGCTCCTGTGCTGGAAAGGTTAAATAGCACATAAAGACAGGGAAAAAGAGCAGTCCAGTCTGTCAATGCCAGCCTGGTTGAGCCTGGCTTTGCTCTGTGAAGCACCAGGTAGTGTCTGCCCGAGGCTGGCAGCTGGGGCAGGATGTTGTGACGAGGACAGGGACCCTTTCCAGTGGGAGCTGACTTCTCCTCTGCCCATATATTGTGGCCATGGTGCTGTCCCATGCTGCTGCAAGCACAGATGGGATGCAAGAATGTGATCCACAGCCACTCATTCAGCTCCAGCGTTTTCTTCCCCAGTACATCCCTGTTAGGGCTGAATGCTCCCCCTCACAGGATTTTAATCTCTGTAAACATCAGGGTCTGGTCTCAGAGCCTAAAGCCAAGCACCAGAGCCCCCTCCCACTGCACTGAAACAGGTTCCTGAGGTCCTTTGGTTTTCCTTACTGGTTTTGTGTGATTTGCCTTCCTCTCTAATGCCTGGTGTGGAAATAGGAGCAGCTGTCTTCCCCCTGCATCTCTGCTTGGTCCTGTACTCTCAGCCCTACCTGGTCCTCACTCTTGGAAATGCCCTCCAGCCTCCAGCTGCTGTGGAGGTCCCGTGGCTTTTGATTCCCTGTCCTGCTCCTGACTGAGACTCTGAGTGACTCTTGAGACTGGCAGCAGTTCTCCAGTATTTCCACTCTTGTTTGTTAGTCTTTTCCCTGTGCCTCATAACCAAAAAGAACATTGTTATTAAGGGCAACGGTTCAAAATTCTGTTTTCCCTTGAATGATCCCACAGAGCTTCTCTGAGCAGAGCTCTTCTGAGCTCTGGGTGCTCCTATCTGGGGGGTTATGAGTTTTTGGAATGATTTATGTTGCTCTTTTCCTGTTAACATTTTCAGGGCACATGACTCTGAAGACTCTGCAGAGAGGAAGAGGCCAGAGGAAAGCTGGGGTGAAACTGGCTGCCAGGTTTTTGGAGAGCAGGTAAATCCTGTGCTCACCTGTCTTGTGTTGCATTAGTTGATCCCAATCATCTGCTAATAGCAGATCTTTGTGTATCTGACTATGGAAAAAAAGGGCTGGAAGGGGCCATATAAGATCATTGGTGCACCACTGCTGTGAGGTGGGAAGGCTACAAAGAGAGGGGGAGAAAATAAAAATAGGTGCTCAAGCAACTCTTATCTGATTGTGAGCAGAAACCACAGTGGTGATACTGTGTGGGATGGGGTGGAGCTCACTGGATTTAGAAAGGTCAGGAAACATCCCCTTGCTTGAGTGTTCCCTCTGGGGAGCCAGGGCAAGAATCTTTTCTACCCGGAAAAGCTGGGAGGGTAAAAGCCAGGAAATCAGTGACCTTGCCCTCTGTCTGAGGAACAGAAACCCATTTTTCTTCCCCTTTTATCTCCCTCCAAGCCATTATTGTCCCTCTGTGGTAAGGCAGCATTTTGAGAAGACACTGACATTTACATTCCCTTCTCTCTTGGCTGTGCAGGGACACCCTGACAACCAGTTCCTCACTGCCAGCTCTCCTGGTTCAGCTGCAGAGCCTCAGTGCAAGAGCTCCTGGTTTGCCCAGGGGCTGCACTTCTGTGTGAGCAAACAGGATATCTTTCTTTGTCTCTGTATATTTGCAGAAACACCCCCACCACCTTAGACATGTTTTCCGTATGTTTTTATATAGAACCTACAATTTGCCAAATGCTGTAACTTTGGGCTCCTCATTAATTCCTTGGAAAAAGGCAGCCCCGGGACCTGCATTCTTGTATTCGTTCAGGTTAATCCATCCCTCTGTGTCTCTTTTCCTGCACCCCTCCCTTGGGTATGGTCACGTTGGTGCCCAGGGGAGGCCGATGCTGGATCAGCCTTTTGGGCGGCTCTGAACTTTGGTTCACCTCCCTGAGTTCTCCTTTTGGTGGCTTAAGACTCTTTCTGGGACAGGATCAAGGGCACGTGCTGCGAGAGCGCCCGAGCGAGCGCGGCTTCTTTGCTGGCACGCTGGGAACAGGGAATCAAAGGACTCCTTATCTATGGAGGGAAAGTTTCTAGGCTGCTTATCAGGCACGGCTTAGAGGTTAGATTATCTCAGGAGCAGCAGATTGACAGCCTGCCTCTCCGTTCTCCTTGTGCTTGGCTGGGTGAACACCTTGGAGTGAGGCAGTGAGAGGGTGGCACAGCCTTTGGGGATGTGGGTGCCCAGGGAGGGGGCTGGGGAGACAGCCTGGCACAGAACTTGCCCACTTTGCTCCCATCCTGCTCCCTCACCACACCCTTTGCTGGGGCTGACCCTCATAACATGCTTGGGATGATGCTGAGAGAATTTTTTGCTCTAACTTTACATGGGCATTTGTATTTCTAAAAACATCTGCCAACCTAATTTGGGCTACTCCTGCCCCTTTCCAGAGATGGGAATGGAACTTGCTGTTGGCTGAATTCACTGCTGATGCAAACTGGAAATCTGAAATCTGAAATGCTGAGGGTGTGTGGCTCGGATGGGAAGTGAAGTGGCTGAGCTTCTCTGCAGGGAACTGGGAACCCAGACCTTGGCTCCTGCAGGGACTCTCAGCCTGGCTGCAGGTGCTCTGACTGTGCCTCAGGATTAATTCTCATCTTCCCTTTTGTCTCCTTTCCTGGCCCCTGAAGCTCTGCTCTGTGCCCAGAATTTGCTGTTGGTTCCTGACTGGGACACGGCTGATTTTGGGGAGCAGCCCCAGCTAAGAGCTTCACCCCATTCTGTACAGCAAATTCTGATGGCAGCCGTCCCCATTGCCCAGCAAATCCAGGGGACATTTTGTGCTCCCTGTGAAGGGTGGCAATTCCAGGGGAGTCCCAGCCATGTGGGAAGCTGGAGTACCTGGAGTTGTGCTGCCAGCATGGAGGGGATGCAAGCTGGGTTCTTATGAGTGATGAGGAATTTCTGAGTGGCTGAATTTAGGAGTTGCCTGGGCAATGATCTCCTGCTCAGGCATCAGTTTGTTGCTTAAAAGTCCATGGACGATTGGGGTCCCCATGTCTGCCTTCCTCTCTGGGGACAGACCATCAAAGTCCTGAGTGTGGGAAAGCTCTTACCTCTTGAGGGCTCCATCAGTGAGCAGCGTCCCCTTCTCATTCCTCACCTCCAGTTTCAAGGGTTTACCCTCCTGCCTGCCCTGGCCCTGCCTGCCCCTGGGCTGGGCCTTCTGGAGGGGAGGCAGGTGGGAGTTCCTGGGGTGTCTCGTCCTCCAGCAGTGCAACAAGTGCTGGTATGCCACTCGGAAATCCCTGTTGAGTGTCCCGTAGAGGATGGGGTTCAGGGCTGAGTTGGCATAGCCCAGCCAGAGGACAATGGACATGGGTGTGCCTTTGACCCCGCTGTCCCCCCACACCCCCCTGTACGTGAACATGGTGAAATAGGGGAGCCAGCACACGACGAACGCTCCCAGCACCACTGCCAGCGTCACGGTGGCTTTGTGCTCTTTCACCATGGGTGGCGTGGGCGCGTTGCCCCACGTGTGGTTTATCCTCTTGGCTTGCTCCCTCGCGATCTTGAGTATCCGGTAGTAGGTGATGCACATGATGCCCAGAGGGATGTAGAAGGTGAGCAAGCCGTCCACTAACCCGTACACAAGGTTCACTGCCAGCGTGCACTCCTTGCTGCAGGTGGGGCCTGTGTTCTGCACTGCTGTCCCGTTGGTGTTCCAGCCCAGGTGGATGGGTAGGAAGGAGACCATCAGTGAAACGGTCCAAATTACAGCCAAGCCCACGGCCACCCGCGAGGGAGTGACCACCTGGCGGTAGCGGAGCGGGGTGGTGACAGCAAAGTAGCGGTCCAGGCTGATCATGAGGAGGTTGAGGATGGAGGCCGTGCACAGCATGACGTCCAGGCTGGTGTAGATGTTGCACAAAACGCTGCCAAAGGGCCACTCCTTGGTGAGCTCATATAAAGCAGAGAAGGGCAGCACCAGAAGCCCCAGCAGCAGATCCGTGATGGCCAAGGAGACAATGATGCAGTTTGTCAAGCTCCGGAGCCGGCGGTCCAGGGTGACGGCCAGGCAGACGATGATGTTACCACAGAGAGTGACCACGATGAGGGTGAAGAGGCAGAACCCGACCAGCACCTGCAGGGGGAACACCTGAGAGCTTGTGTGGTTGCTTTTTTGAGAGCTTGTGTGGTTGTAACATGGATCCATGGTGTCACTGCAAGGATGGAGCAGTCCTGCTCTCATCAGCTCCAGAGCTGCTTGGAGTGAGCCTGGAGCAGGCAGGCCTAGGGCCCTTCCCAAAATGACCCTAGTTCTACAGTGACCTTGGAGAACATTGCAGAGTCACTTTACAGGTTCAGCCTTGTGTGCTGGGAATGACATGGTCTAGGAAAGATGTGACACTGCCACTCTTTTGTGCCTGTTGGCCCCTCTGGGAGCTCAGTGCTGGAGGCGATGCCCTGTGGCAGCTGCTGGTGGATCTCAGCTGCTTCTTTTCCTTTCATGCCTTCTCTTCTCCTCTGAGTGACCATTGGGTCAGTTCCTCTGGGCTCTCATGCCCTCTGCATGTTTGGTTGGTGACAGTGGTAAGCAGTGCTCCAGCAAGGACAGAGCTTTGACACCTCCCAAGGACAACCTGCAAAAGAAAGTGTCTGGTGAGGCCCTGGCACAGACTGCATAGAGAATTTGTGGAAATGTTCAAGACTAGGCTGGATAAGACTCTGAACAACCTGGTCTAGTAGAAGGTGTCCCTGCCCTTGACAGAGGAGTGGAATGAAATCTGTAAGATCCCTTCCAAACCATTCTGTGATTCTATAAAAGCATCAAGTCAGAGCTGCAGTGGGCAAAGACCCTCTGAGCTTCCCCTCAAACCCCTCCAGAAGCAGGGTGTCTGTAACTCCCTGCCTGCTCCAGCCCACTTAAACCCAAACTGGAAAGTGCTTTGGCAGCCAGGCACCCGTGTACCTGCCAGCGGGGCTCTCCCAGCCCATGTAATGGAGGGATGTTGAGAGAAGGGCAGGGATTTTAAAATTGTCATGTTCCTATAGGCTTACAATAAAAGTGAGAACAAGGAGGACATGAGGAAACAATTTTCCTGAGATAGCAGTTCTTATGCAATTCAGCAAAATTAGTCACAACTACGTAATTTCTGAATCTTGGCTGTGGCTGCCAATCTCATTCAACTTTGCCTTTGTGCCTGTGCTTTGCAGCAGCCCAGTGCCTAGGGTTGGTCCCTGCCATCAAAAATCACAGCAGCTCTTGTAGCCTGTATGGGAAATCCCACTCTGCTCTGGGTCCTGGGAGGGAAGAAGAATGTCCCTTGCAGACTGACTTTTTCTGGCTGTTTTCTGTCTGGATACAAATAAGAAAATGCCACATTTTGCAAGGGAAGAAACAACAGAGCAAACCACTCTAACTTACAGTGAGCTGCTGGTTATGGTGATCTCCAACACCCTGCCACTGCTAGATTCAAAGGAACCTTGGCTCCTGGATTGGAAGCAATATCCATGTTGGGAAGATGCCTAAAAGGTAATTGAGGTAGTGCAGGATCAAGAAAGAGGGCTGGGAATGGTCTGAGGAGCTGGACTGACTCACTGACACTCATGGATCTCTTGTGTCCAAACTGTGGTCTGCCACCAGATGATTTGAGGGGTCTCCCCATCCTCCTCCATGTGCTGGTGTGGGAGAGCTGCCCTGGTGCCCACGGTGGGGCAGGACCCAGCTCTGCAGGCTCTCTGCACCCCATGGAGCAGCAGTGAAGGCTCCCCTGGTGGTGCCCAGGGCTGTGCAGGAAGGCAGAGCTGATTCTCTGCAGGCGCAACAGGCGGCAGAGATGGAGCAATCAGAAGAAACTCCAGGAAAGGAAAAGATCCAGCCTTGTCAGAGGACAAAGGTGAGATTTTTAAACTCCCCCTGCAACAACAAGATAACATTGTGGTGCAGGTTGAAATATTCTTCAGATGATTTATGTCTCTGATTGAAGTCTAAAGGCATGGGGGCCACAGGAGGGAGTATACCAAGGAGACT